CCCTGAAAGCAGGAAGGTCACCTTGATATATATTCTACAAACATTAGAAGACCACAAGACAGCACTCATGAGGAAGAGGCAGGTGGATCTCTGTGAGTTTGAGGCCAGCCTGGTCTACAATGTGAGTTCAAGGACAGCCTCCAAAACAATACAGAGATACCCTTTCTCCAAAAATCAAAAAGAAAAAACGAGAGAAAGATACCACGAATCCACGAATGAACATCCCAATCTTCTATGTGCAACAAAGCTTTCAATAAATATAGAAAGAGAAAAAGATATTCCATAACAAAACCATGTTTCAAAACAGTACATATCCACAAATACAGCTTTACAGAAAGTACTAGAAGGAAAACATCAACTCAAAGATTTACCTACATTCACAAAATATACACAATAGATAATTCCACATTACCAAAGCCAAAAAAACGGAAAAACACACACATGATAACACAAATACCAACAAATCCAAAACTAGCTAGAATCAATAACCAATGGTCATTAATATCCCCTAATTTAAATCATCTTGATTTGCTTATGTAAAGACGCAGGCTAAGAGGGTTGATGCAAAGACAGAAGCCATCCATCTGCTGCATACTAGAAACACCTCAGCTTCAGAGACCGATATTACCTAAAATAAAGGGTTAGGAAAAGTTTTTCAAAACCTATGGACCTAAGAAACAAGCTAGTGTAGCTAACCTAATACCTAGCATACTAGATTGCAAATCAAAATTAATCAAAAGACATAAAGAAGGCAATATCATATTCATCACAGGAACAATATATCAAGATGAAGTCTCAATTCTGAATATATATATGCCAAATACAAACACCCACATTCATAAAAGAAACATTACTAAAAAGTTTCAATTCTGAAAATCTATGGCCCAAATACAAAGGCATCCACATTCGTAAAAGAAACATTACTAAAACTCAAATCACATATAAAGCCCCACACACTTATAGTGGGAGACTTCAACACCCCACTCTAACAAATAGACAGGAATACCAGACAGAAACTCAAAAAGAAACAAAGGATCTAATAGAAGTTATGACCCAATTAGGATTAACAGACATCTATAGAATATTCCATCCACATAAAAATATATACCTTCTTCTCACCATCACATGGAACCTTCACAAAAACCAACCACATACTTGGCAACATATCAAACTTCAGCAGCTACAAAAAAATTGGAATCACTCCATGCATCTTATCAGACCACCATGCGTTAAAATTAGAATTCACCCACAACACAAATGGCAGAAACCATACAAACTCATGGAAATTGAATAATGCACAACTTCACTATTCACGGGTCAAAAAAGGAATTAAAGACTTCCTATAATCGATCAGAATGAAGGTACAACATACCCAAACCTATGGGACATTTTGAAAACACTGCTACAGGAGAAGTTCATAGTATTAAGTGCCCACATGAAGAAAATGGAGAATAGATATACTAGAGAATTAACAGCACAGCTGCAAGCTCTAGAACACAAAGAAGCAAACTTCTCCAGGAGGAGTAGATGCAAGGAAATAATCAAACTGAGGGCTGAAATCAATAAAGTAGAAACTAGGAAAACAATACAAAGAATCAATGCAATGAAGAGTTGGTTCTTTGAGAAAATCAACAATATAGACAAACCTTTGTCCCAACTTACCAAACACCAGAGTGTGAACACGCAAATTAACAAAATCAGAAATGAAAAGGGGGACATAACAATGGACTCTGAGGAAATTCAGAGAATCATCAGGCCATACTTTGAAAACCTGTACTCCATAAAATTCAGAAATTTAAAGGAAATGGACAACTTACTGGATAGCTATCACTTGCCAAAACTAAATCAGAACAGATAAGCAATTTAAATAGACCTATAACCCCTATGGAAGTAGAATCAGTCATCAAAAGACTCCCAACCAAAAAAAGCTCAGGCCCAGATGGACTCAGTGCAGAATTCTACCAGAAATTCAAAGAACAACTTACACCAATTCTTCTCAAATATTCCATGCAATAGAAGCAGAAAGGCCTTGCTAAAATTTTTACTACACTTCAATAATCTTGATCCCCAAGCCATACAAAAACACAACAAAGAAAGAGAACAGATCAATATCCCTCATGAACATTGAAGCAATAATACTCAATAAATACTGGTAAATCAGATCCAAGAACACATCCAAACAATCATTCCCCACAATCAAGTAGGTTCCATCCCAGGGATGCAGGGATGGTTCAACATAAGAAAATCCATCAATGTAATCCACCATATAAACAATCTGAAAAACAAAAATCACCTGATCACCTCACTAGATGCAGAAAAAGCATTTGAACAAACCCAACACATCTTCATGATAAAGGTCTTGTAGAAATATGGGATAAGAGGAACATACCTAAAAATAATAAAAGCTATAAACAGCAAACCAACAGCCAACATCAAACTAAAGGGTCAGAAACTCAACACAATTCCTGTAAAATCAGGAACATGACAAGGCTGTCTACTCTCTCCATACATTTTCAATATTGTACTTGATGTTATAGACAGAGGCATACAACAAAAAGAGATCAAGGGGATACAAATTGTAAAGAAAGAGGTAAACTTTGACCATTTGCAGATGATGTGATAGTTTACATAAATGACCCAGAGAACCATACCAGGGAACTCTTACAGCTGAATAACACATTCAGTAATGAGGCAGGCTACAAGATCAACTCCAGAAAATCAGTAGCTCTACTATATACAGATGATAAAAGGGCTGAGAAATAAATCAGAGAAACATCACTCTTTACAATTGCCACAAACAACATAGAATACCTTAGGGGTAACACTAACCAAACAACTGAAAGACCTGTATCGCAGGAACTTTGAGATTTAAAGAAAGATATTAAAGAAGCCCTCAGAAAATGTAAAGATTTCCCATGCTTTTGGTTAAGTAGGATCAATGTAGTAAAAATAGCAATCCTGCCAAAAGCAATCTACAGATTCAATGTAATCCCCATTAAAATACAAGCACAATCCTTCACAGACCTTGAAAGAACAATAGTAAATTTTGTATGGAAAAACAAAAGACCCAGGATAGCCAAAACAACCTTACTCAACAAAGCAACATCTGGAGGCATCACTATCTCCGACCTCAAGCACTATTATAGAGTTCTAGTCCTGAAAACGGACTGGTATTGGCATAAAAATAGACAGGTAGAGCAGTGGAATCCAATTGAATACCCTGATATTAACCCACACATGTATGAACATCTGACCTTCAAAAAAGAAGGTAAAAATATGTGATGGATAAAAGAAAGCATCTTTAACAAATGGTGTTGGCATAACTGGATGCTGGCATGTAGAAGAATGCAGATAGACCCATGTCTATCACTATGCACAAAACATAAGTCCAAATGTATCAAATATCTCAAAATAAATACAGCCACACTAAACTGCTTAGAAGAGAAAGGTGATGGTACCATTGAACGAATTGGTAGAAGAGACAGCTTATTAAACATAACACCAGTAGCACAGACAGTGAGATCAACAATTAGTAAATGGGACCTCCTGAAACTGAGGAGCTTCTGTAATGCAAAGGACACAGTCAGCAAAACAAAAAGGCAGCCCACAGAATGCAAAAAAAAATATTCACTAACCCCACATCTGACAAAGGGCTGATCTCCAAAATTTACAAAGAACTCAAGAAGCAAGTCTCCAAAACGCCAAAGGATACAATTAAAAATGGCCTACAGAACTAAATATAGAATTCTCAATAGAGGAGTCTAAAATGGCTGAGAGGCACTTGAGAAAGTGCTCAACATCCTTAGCGATCCGGGAAATGCAAATCAAGACAACTCTGAGATACCATCTTAATCCTGACAGGGTGGCTAAAATTAAAAACACCAACGAATATTTTTTCCTTTTTTATTATTTATTTTTAAATTTAAATTTAGATTAGAAACAAGGTTGCTTCACAAGTCAGTTCCAGGTCCCTCTCCATTTCCCTCCCCTCCTACCATGCCCTTCCCCAACCCACCCCAATATCCCATCGTTTCCCCAGGGAGAGTGAGGCCCTCCTTGGGTGTGTCCATAGTCTGTCATTTCACCCAGGGCAGGGCCTAGACCCTCCCCCCAAGAGTTCAGGGTGAGAGTGCATCTCTCATTGTGGGATGGCAGTCCAAAATCTATGTGTGTACTCGGGATAAATACTGATCTACTGCCCAAGCTCAATAGATTACCTAGGCCTCTTCACTGACACCCCCATTCAGGGGTCTTGATCAGTCCCATTCTGGATTCCCAGGCATCAGCTGGTTATTCAAGAGTTAACTCTTGTCAGTTCAGCTGTTTCTGGGGGTTAAACCAGCCCAGTCTTAATCCCTTTGGTCATCAGTCCTCCCTATCTGTTACTGGCTTTCTTAAGTTCAGCTCAGTGCTTAGCATTTGGAGTGTGTCTCTTCTTCCATCAGCCACTGAATGAAGGTTCTGTTTCCCAGACTCTCTGGCCATGGGGTGGTAGGCTGGTACTCACCAGATCTATGTCTAAAATCCATATATGAGAGATTACATGCCATGTTTCTCTTTTTGTTACTGTGTTACCTCACTCAGGATGGTTTCTTCTAGTGTCATCAATTTGCCTGCAAATCTCAGGATTTCATTTTTTTCTGCTGAATAGTACTCCATTGTGTAAATGTACGACATATTCTCTGTCCACTCTTCGGTTGAGGGACATCTAGGTTGCTTCCAAGTTATGTCTATTACAAATAATGCTGCTATGAACATAGTGGAACAGACATCCTTGTTGTGTGAAAGGGCATCTTTTGGATACATGCCTAAGAGTGGAGTTGCTGGGTCTTGTGGTTGGTTTATTCCCATTTTTCTAAGGAATCTCCATACTGATTTCCAAAGTGTCATTCCCACTATCAATGGAGGAGTGTTCTGCTTTTACCACATCCTCTCCAGCATAAATTGTCATTGAACAACTGGTTTTACAGGTAAAGTTAATACATAGATGTATGGCGAATTTATAAAGAGTGCCAATTATTAGAATGTTCTGCTAAGATCTTCCTTAAGGCATTTTTAATGTTATTGTTCCTCAGGCTGTAGATGAAGGGATTCAACATGGGTGTGACCACAGTGTACATCACTGAGGCCACTGCAGTACTTCTTGGAGAATGTGATAGAAATGAGCTGAAGTACACCCCTATTCCTGTTCCATAAAACAGGCAAACTATGGATAAATGAGATCCACAGGTGGAGAAGGTTTTGTGCTTCCCACTTGATGATGATTGCATAATGGAGAAAACTATTTTAAAGTAGGAGAAAATTATTCCTGAAATAGGAAGTAACCCAAAAAGAGTGCCTATACTGAATCTGACTATGTTATTGGTTAAAGCATCAAAATGGGCAAGTTTAAGGACTTCAGAAGGGTCACAGAAGAAGTTGGAAATTTCAGTAATATCATCACAGTTGGAAAATTTTAATATTGCCACATAATGCAACAGTAATTCTATGAGGCTAAGGAAAAAAGAACCTAGAATTAAGACACCACAGCGAGTGGGATTCATAATGATCTTGTAATAAAGAGGATGGCAGATGGCCACAAACCTGTCATATGCCATCACAGCCAGAAGCATGTTATCCATACATCCAAAAATTATAAGCAGTGACATCTGTGTCAGGCAGCCCACACAGGAGATGACTGGGTAGTGAGTCTGGATGTCCACAATCACCTTTGGAACAGTGGTGGAGATGAAACCAATATCAATCATGGACAGATTGGAAAGGAAGAAGTACATGGGTGTGTGGAGATGGGAGTCAGAGCTTACTGTCAGGATGATGAGCAGGTTTCCAAACAGGGCCAAGATGTACATGGACAAGAATAGGCCAAAGAGAAGAGTCTGTATGTCTGGATCATCTGAGAGTTGAATGAAGTGAAATTCTGGTAAAGTTGTTGCATTATTTGTGTTTTTATTTCTTGAACATCTTTTAGAGGAAACCAAAAATGTTGTTAAAAATGGTACCAGAGACTCTGAGATCTCGTAGCCTGGGGAATTCAGGTAGGTCTACTCACCTAACCCCCACCCTCCACCACATCCCTGGCAGATAAAGCCACCCAGAGTCTTCAATTAATACCATCTAAGTAATAATAATTTTAACAGAAAGTCACCATGACTAAATCATAAGCATTTTATATTAAGTATATCAAATGTGAAACTTTATAGAAATTTGAATTTTGATGAATGAACATTGCCTTCATAGTAGTTCTGCATGATTTGATTGTCTAATTCATCAATCTAAATGGCTAATATGAATTCAGGGGTCAGGTTTTTTTCAGTAATATTTCCATATAAATACCTATTGGAATACATATAAAGAACAATTTTAAATAAACTTAATACATACTTGATGCTCATTCAGTAGTATGAAGCACAGCACATGCTGTAACACAAGCATATTTCCTTACATTTAACTGAGGTTCTAAGCCTGTCTGTAACTTCCCAAATTAACTGCTCATGGATTAGCTGAATCACTATCTCATGGACATACATACATTAGGTTTTAGGCATCATATTTATGTAGGAAAACTGAGAATGTTAAATTGGCATTTAAAAGGACCTATAAATTGTTTAGGAAACATTAAAACACATAATGTAAAAGTAGCCGAAGGAGTGCTCCCAGCTGTCTTATCAGAAAAGCACAATTCTCCAGGAAGACACAATAATCTTCATTGACAGCTGCCTGTTCAAAGTAGGACTGGTCTGTCTCTAGAGAGCTATTTCAACAGCATATGTGGAAAGTCTCCCCATTTGTTGGAACAAGTAAATTTGTAATTTCCTTCTCTGTAAAACATGGTTAATTTCTAAAAATGAAACGTGGAGCTATGAAACTATAACAGCAAGCAGGGGTATATGGACCTGGCTGACTCTGTTTTGTCCATGAGTCAGAACCAGGCCTGATCTATTGCCAAAATATTTTTTCCTTGTTGATGTCTAAGTAGTAAAGTGATTTCTACCTGAGGGGATTGTTAATCCTGTCACAAAACACTTAGATCGTCCAAAACCTCATCTGTCTTCCTCTATTCATACTGGTAGATATTTAGTTACCTCATAAAAATATAGTGTCAGGCATACAACATAAAATTTCTGTGTCTTTTAATGTTCACCAGTTAATTGTTCCTAGAAAAATAGTTACCTGTGTCCTATTACCCTTTTTCTGTTTTTCACTAAAAACTATTAGACTTATGAAATTCTCACTTAAAAATATGTGATTTTGCATGATGATTTACCCACTTGTCCCATGAAAACGTCCTCCTACTATGTGCCATTAAAAGGGTAAAATCAACCAAGATCATGAAATATAGGATGCACTCACATGTATAATGTATTTCTATTTGTATCCAATGGTGAAGACAGTGGCCCTGGTTGGAAGTCAGCGAATCAAGAGAGCATTTATGACTTTCTCCATAACCACATGCTCACATGAACCAAGAGCAACAACCCACCACCATTTGGAAAATGATAAAATTGCATTGTATCTTTTTGACCAAATCAGAATCCTATGTATATAGAAAATATGAATTTATTTGGGAGTATTGCCAAAGGGCACTGGACCCTAAAGAGGGTCTTCAAAATTGACTTTCCATTTCTTGTCATGCCTTGACATTCCTTTATTTCAGGTGAGAATACACAACACTTTTTTACAGGCCAATAGTGCAGCTGTTTAATATAATTATATGATTCAAAAGTCCATGACATGGAATCAAACAACAAAAAATTGATCAATTTCTAGGTCACATTCCTGAATGGAATAAAAATATAAAGGAAAGCAAATATATATATATATATTATATATATATATATATATATATATATATATATATATATATATGGAAGCCAGGGTTTTGAGAGGAGAAAAGGTATACTTAGTGAATAAAATATATATAGTTTATTTCACACATGTGACTATGAATCATTAGGTCCTATGAAACCAAAAAAATGAAAGTTAGAGATAATAAGTTTATCAATATGCAAAAATACTTAAGTAATGATGAACATTAACAGAAAAAGTACTTACCAAAACTCTGTCATGTAATAGCTAATATGTAAGAATTACAAATAAGGCAAAACATATGTGTCATTTTTGATCCTGGAGTGGTTTGATTTGGTTTGGTCTTATTTTTATTTGATTAATTTTATATTTTAAATGATAATAAAATAATATCTCTTCCTTCAGTTATACCTCTTCAAACTCCCTATATAACTCTAACTCACTCTACTTCAAAGTCATGGTTCCCACATCCAGGAATTATTTCATGCATATATGTATATCTTCATGTATTACTGATCATATAGTCTTAAGAAGATATGCACAGATCTTAACAGCACATACCTTTTTAAGCTCTCATCTTTCTAACTACAGATGATATAGGAACCTGATTGTATTTCTGCTGAAAACTTAGTGGCTGAGCCTTGGAATAATGGATAAATATCCAGAAAAATAGAATGCAGTTTGTGAGAATCTGTAAACACAGCACTTTGGAGGGTGAGGCCAAATGAGTGCAGCTTCACTAAAATCCTGCAGGCAACATGAGATCTTATTTCAAAGCACATGGAAGATAATGAGGATGAAGGAAATTAGAAAAACTTAAGTTGATTTGTTTTTCAAATGCTTTCAGACTGTTTCAAATGAAGCTCAGGTATATAACCTGTCAGTTACAATGCAGAGGTGAATAATAAATATAAGGAAACCATGAGTGAAGAAGACACGTTTTTTTAGAATGAGGCATTATGCAGTATCTTTTTACTGAACAGGTTGTTTTTTGTTTTGATCCAGCCAAAGTAATTCACACAAAACCTCACTAGCTTCTGCCTGACCACATTAGACACATTACACAGGACTACTGTCTTTGTCTTTTACCTTCAATAAAATATTAACTATGCAGAAGCTTAGAATTTTGAAATTTGTTAAAAATATTCAGATAAAATTAGATATATAAAATATAGAGCTCAGATCTTCCAACCAGGGAAGACTTTAATAGTCACACACACATAGTAGCTTTCTACATAAGTATAATTATTAAGTCTCCCTCACCACCATTGCCACAGTTCTTTATAATACATATGAAACAACTGAGTTGGCTCTATTTTCTGCTCCATTTGGTCATAGGAGTATGCAAAAGAGACACTGGGGATAGATCAATGAGAATTTGAGGACAACCATCACAGCAATAAAATAACAGTGGAGAGGCTCAAATTATAATTGCACTTATCATATCACTTTCATGCCCAAATAATCATAGTTCATATGATTAAGAGGAAATAATAATTCCTGTAATGTCTTCTTCAACCTCAATCATCTCAGAACTTACATGGATAACATGTAGGTCTGTGTATCCATGACAAAGGGTTGTGGCTATGACAAATCTTCCCTGCTTGTTGGCTGGTGAAGGCTCAAGCTCACTCTTGAATTCTGAAGTGAACATAATATCAAGAGCTTCCTGATGCAGAACACTGTAAGAAGTGAAAACAGGAATATATAGACCTGGATTACAGAGATCAAACTGATGACCTACAGAGACAGGCTAAATAATTATTCTTACATAATCTTAGAAATGAAATGCACAGAGCTGGTGATTAAACATACTTGTCAACAATATTGCAATCTCTAAGGAATGCCAGAGTTTAATGGAAGAAGCAAAAGGAGCAGAATGTTCTCAAGAGGTTAACTATAAGGTTTCTTTGATATCCTAAATTTTCTATTTTACTTTAATTTCAGTTTGGGTTCTCTTTGGTAATTCTTTTCTATTATTATTGAATTGTACTGAATGTACTCTCCTGTGTCTGCAGAAACCTGTTTCTTTCCTGTGTGACAATCAAAGGCAGGAAATCCACCATGTCTGTTCTCAAGATTCGTTCCAGAGAGATCTTTGACTCATGGAGAATCCCACTATTGAGGTTGATCTCTACACCCCAAAAGCTACATTCCAACCTGTTGTGTCCACTGACACATATAAAGCCCTGGAATTGTGACAATAATATCATGAGCTACTGGATAAGGAGTGAAATGCATTGAGCACATCAAGACTATTGCACCTGCTCTGAGTAGCAAGAAAATGAATGTTGTAGAACAAAAGAAGATAAGAAAACTGATAATTGATGTGGACAGCACTACAAATAAATCTAGCATTGCTGAAAATGCCATACTAGGAGTATCCTTGGATATCTGAAATTCTGGTGCAAAGGACAGGGCATATCCCTGTGCCCTCACATCACTGAATTGAATGGCAGCCCTGAAGTCTTCCTGATGCTCCCATCTTTCAATGGTGACAACAGTGGTTCTCATGCTAACAACAAGCTGTCTGGTCAAATTTCATGACACTGTCTGGAATGACTTCCACTTCTAGGAAGCCATGCCCCTTCAAAAGAGCTTTAGAAAAACCTGAAAAACATCATCATGAAGAAATACCAGTAGGAAGTCACTAATGTGCCAAACATCCTGGAGAACATAGAAGCCTCAGAGCTACTAAAGACCACAATTGAAAAAAGTCAGATACACTGACCAGGGTGTGATCAGCAAGGACATGGCTGCCTCTGAATACTTTAGGTCTGGCATATATGACCTGGAATTCTGGTCACCTTTGATTCCAACAGGTACATCATGCTGACTACATGGCTGACCCGTATAAGTACTTTATCTGGAAATATTCGGTGGAGTCTATCGAAGATCTCATGACCAGGATGACTGGTAACATGGCAGAAGTTAAAAGCTAGTGCAGGCATCCAGGTCATTGGAATGATTTCATGGTAACAAACACTTGATGGAGTGTCAAAGCTGTGACAGAAAAGTCCCAATATTACCTTCTGCTCAAATG